TGGTATGAGCCCATATTTAAAGGCTAACAAAACTGAACTTGCTTAACCACAGGCAACAGCATAGTAAAAGACACAGCTGTTCAAGCATATTTTTCAAACACAAGCTGACTTCCCCTTTCTTTACATGTGGCAAAAAAAGTTCTCTTATATTTTGTTTGTCTTAGAATATCTTCATCTCCTGTTAAAGAATACTTTTGCTCGGTGCAGAAAGTTTGATTGGCAAGGTTTTTGGGGAGGGTGTTTTTGGGTTGCTTTTTTTTTTCACTTTTTCCTTTTGTTCCTTCAACATAGTAATATCTTATCCTATTCTTTCCTACTTATAAGTTTTCTCCTGAGAATTCTACTGTCAGGTGAATTAAAATATCCATATATGTCACTGTTTTCTTTTATGCCTTTAAGAACACTCTCTGTAACCTTTATGCACTTGATTATATGTTTCACATCTTGCTTGAGCTGAATCTGACTTATGACCTTCGACCTTTCCCTGAATATTCTGTGCCTTTTTCACAGTTTGGGAAGTTTCCTATTTCACCAGTAAATAAGCTTTCTACTGTCTAGGCATTGTCAAACACCTCTTTAACCCTAATAACCTGAATATTAACCTTTTTAATGCTTTTCCAATGTTCCTATAAACTTTTTTCATTCCTCTTTGTTCATTTTTATTTTTCTTTTTTCTTTGTGTATTTGTTTGATCAATTCTACTACTGATGCCTTGTATCACATTTTTTTTTCATTTTGTTCGCTGGAATTTTAAAGTGCTGTCATTTTTTCAGCACTAGAGGGCACTACAAACTCAAATTTTTCCAAGAAGCATAAAGGGATTTCTTAGAATTTAAAGTACACACTCAAAGAAAATAGAGTGCAGGCCCTCAGGTGATGTGCATTATAGTCTGGAGCTGGGAATACTTATGGTTTTGGTAGTGAACATGTGGAACTTGTAAATCTATAGAAAGTTTAGGCTTCCTTTACTACAGGAGAAAAGCAAGGTCCGTTTGCAGGTAGAAAGAGAATGGCTCATTTCTCAAATGAAAAGATGGACCATTTTTCAGGAGAAAGACACAAGCCCAGTCTGCTCTATTTTTCAAGATTGGTGATCAAAGATGTTTTGCCTAAGAATATTCTTTGAAACCATGCATACACATGTTATAGGAACACCATTCATAATATCTACATCTTGGAAGTAACCTATACGTACATCAACAGATGAATGAATAAAGAATATGTGGATAAAGAATATGTTTACATGTAATGGAGTACTACTCTGCCATAAAGAAAGAAAAATGAGTCATTTGTAGGAAAATGAATCTACCTTAAGACTATAATGCTAAGTGAAATAAGTCAGAAACACAAGCTTAAACACCACATGGTTTCTCTTATATGAGAAATGCAAATTACAAATAAAGAGCAAAATAAAAAATAGATAGTAGAAAGTAGGGAGCTAGACCTTTCCCAAATGGGAAGAGGATCAAGAGATGGAGGCAAAAGGGAGAAGAAGGAAAAGAGACCAAGAAAGGAATTAAAATGTGTTATATACATATACCAACTCCACACAAGGCTTGTAAACATTATGTACTGCAAACATGTATGTTACGGCTTATGTCTAGATGTCCCCCCCCAAAGCCTCACGCAGTCATAGGCAGGGCTTTTTCAGAGGTGGCTGAGTCTAGAAGGTGTGACTGATTCATGGTGCAATGCCAGGATTATGGGTTCTAGGATTAAGGGTGATTTGTTTGGCACCACCCTAATCCTGCAAACCTAGATAGACTATAAAAGGGGCAGAAAAAAGCTGCTACAGCCTCTTTCTCGCTTTGCTAACTTCTGCCCACTATGAACTGTTTTTCCTCTATGATACCTATTTTCTATGTCACCCTGCCTCGGAGTCAGTCAATTACAGCTGAAACAGCTACAAACCATGAACTAAATAAACCTTTCTGCCTTTAACTTTGGGCACTGGGTATTTTGTCTCAGCAATGAGAAACTAAGACAATATACTAATAAAATAAATAAATGAATAAGTAAATATAAAATCTTTGAATCTGTTTCTCTAAGTTCAGATTTCTGCCCTTTACGTTATCAACTAAGGTAATTTATAGAATTATAAGATCTTTAAGGGTTTGGGGTATGTTGAACTTGGAAGAAATGGAGCATAAACAGGGCTAGGGAGTATAGACATGATTAATCTTGAGTAAATTTGATCATGTCCTGAAACTGTAGACTTCTTAGAGGTATAACTGTTAAGTATGATTTTCCTTCCTACCTATCTTTATTTTGTTTATATGACCTCATACCTCCTGACACAACCCTGGGAGTTTAATCTTATTCTTGTTGCCTTGCTTTCTCATGTTCCTGTGTGTATGTATGTCAATTTTTTGTTGCTTATGATCCCCAGGAAATCCAAATATTGGCATAGAGAGAAAACCAGTTGGCAGCCACTACTATGTTACCTTGACTCTAGTAGTAAATTCAGTGGCAACAATGGCATCAAATGTCACCTGGATGCTGAAAAACCCTAGAAACCACTCATGAACATCCCTTAACCAGAACAAAGAAGACTATGATTTTAGTGAAGACAATGAGACCACCTACATATTGACCTATATATTACTGCTGGTGGTAGGCAGAAATTCAAGCATACCACTAGACTGCGTTTTCCTTCAGGACTGCCCCCTCTGATTATTATTCTCCAAACCTGGCCTCCCACAACAGAATACAGGCACTGTGGTCTTCCTGCTCTGATCCTGGGCCTCTCTGGAGACCCCTATTTTGATTTCCCTCTCTCCAAGCCCATCTTCCAAAGATGTCTCTCACCTGATCTCTGTAGAAGGATAAATAACACTTCAGTCCTCAAACAAATCTGGTCTCTTCCTCAATCAGGTAGGTCTGTGGGTTCTCACCTTGTTGCCCCATGCTGTGGTTACTCTAGAAGCAGGGCTGCATTATATGGGGGCGGGGCACTTGGCTCTTCCTAGATGGGTGCTCAAGGCCCATTGCAGGTAGTGCGGGCAGTGACATCAACTGAGGGTGGGTTTGAGTTACTTTTGTGAATAGTATGTCTATCTAGATTCACTATTTTCTGTTTTGGTTTGGTTTGGGTTTTTTGGTACCGGGAATCGAACTCATGACCGAGCGCTTGCCAGGCAGGCGCCTGTACCCCTGAGCTATATCCCTGGCCCTTAGATTCACTATTGTTTTAATTGCATGGTGCTGTGTTCCAGTTCTTCTAGTACCATTTTTTGAAATGTCCTTTTTTTCTCCATTATATTACCTTTGTTCCTCTGAGCATTAATTCACTTTATTTATGTATGTCTATTCCTGGGCTGTATTCTGTTCCACTCATTTCTGCTTATCTTTTCATCAAAAACATTGAAAACACACTGCTTTGATTAGTGTAGCTTCGCTGTAAGTCTTGAAGTCTGGGACTGTCAGTACTCAACTTTGTTCCTCTCCCTCCATATTGTGTTACATAATGTAGCATTTTTTTTCATATAAGAGTTACCATCATCTTTTTGATATCTATAAAATAACATCCTCGAAGGAATAAGGGGAGAGGAGTGTGTAATGGAGAACAATATAGAGTGAGATATTAATGATATTAATTAATGATATTAATTATATCATTAATATATTGTGATGTTGACACAAATTTGAGGTAAAAACGTGTCCACTGTACTCTCTTAAATGAAACAGCAGGTTACAAAACAGTATACATGCTATTGTAATTTTTTTGTTTTCAAAATGCATTAATGAACAGAGATATCAAGAAAAAAGTTTTTTTTTTTTTTTTTTTTTTTTTTTTTTTTTTTTTCGGGTTCTGTGTTTCCTGGTATCCCTAGACAGTGCCTCACCATGTAGCTCAGGTTGGCCTTGAACTCACTATATATTCCAGGCTGACCTCAAACTCATGGCAATCTTCCTGCCTTAGCCTCCTTAATGCTTGGATTACAGGCATGTGCCACCACACCTGGCTTACGTATTTTTATAAACTGACCTTAATTTCTCTTACTAATGGGATATAAAAAGGGTCCAATCTTTCATGACAACACCACACAACCTTGACTTATAAAAAGGGTCTGAACTTTAGGTACAGATTCCATATCAAGGACAGGCAGACAAATTATTTTATTTTATTTATTTTGAGAACTCTGGCATTTATATCCTGTGAACCAAAAATATCTGTTAAATCAGATGTCTAAAATGTTACTTATCCAGTCTCTAATGAACTATCCGAAGATCTCTTCATTTCAGAGAATATAGGTCTTTTGTACTCTTTGCCTAGTCAAAAAAGGAAAGGAAACTTGAATAATGGATGAAGTTGAAATATATGAAATCTTATCTGCTGTCCAAAAGATGGGAAGAGGGTATATAACACTGTTGAAACATTGCATATAGGAGAGCATTTGGGTCTACATACATAAATGTGAATGATGTCAATTATGGACAGTTTTTCATGTAATAGATGCTATAACTAGGGGAAGATAAAGAGTAAGATATGAGTAACATCAACCGGGATGTGCCTTTAAATGGCAGAAAAGCAAACAAATACTACAAAATGAGCTACACAGAAGTGACAAAGATATAGGAATAGAACCAGTAAACACAGATTTCACTGACACTAAAGAGAATTAACTGATGGTACCACTTGTTTTAAAAATAAACATCAAGCTATCAAACACATGCACATTATCAAACTCCACCTCTCAGCTTAATGTTCTCCATGTAATTGATTCTGTGAAAGAGGAAGTGAAAAAAACAAGCTAAGTTGCAACTCACTCTAATAACTAAAAAGGCCACCTATGTTTAAAAACACCCACAATGTTGTCTTGGGCACACACATGCACAAAAAATGGTGCTAACAAAAATACATGTTGGAAAAATTAAAGGAAAAGATAGGAAGGCCTTGTAGACTTGTGTCATTAGTATACTCACCCTTTTGGCAATGTGGCTGACACTAAGGTTCGGAGACAAACAAAACTAACTGAGTATCTGCTTTTCACACAGCAATGGCCTCAACAGAGTACACCCCTGATGAATCTCTGCTCAGAGGCAAAAGAAAGCAAGATCTCCAAGAGATACTGAGAGAAGTGGGACTGGATTCTGAGTTCTGGATGCCTAAGCTGGAAGAACACCTGGATGTGTCCTGTACTCCGGCCTTACAATACTTAAATGAAAAAGACCTCCATAAACTGAAATCCTATGCACAGCATCCATGGGAAAAAAGGGCCCTGGAGAAGCTGCTTGACCCTTCACATTCAAATAGTCTTCCAGAGTTACAGGACTCTCCAATGGAAATGGCCAAGAAAAGGCAAGAGCAAGCAGAACAGGCACTGCAGGAGCTGAAGGACTTGCTGTCAAAAGGAAGGCAAAGACAGGAAGAGTCAGTGAGGATTAAAGAAGCAGAGCTGAGGCAAGCAATGGAGATCCCTGAAGAGTATTGGCCACCTTCTGAAATACCCCTACAAGAAGTCATAGAAAACCTGCAGAGACAAATCAATCTTATGGAACAGACACTGTCCCAAAGGCAAAACTTCTCAGATCGTGATCTGGTAAGATGGGCATCTGGAGGCCTTGCCCTACAGGGCATTTACAAAACCAGCCAGCAAGGGACCCTGATTGAGAAGAGAGAAGAGCTACTCAATGTCCCCGAGGAGGTTTTACTCTTTGGCCCTCAGCAGGGTGCATGGATGGAAACAAAGGAATTTACATCTTTGCAAGAAGAATCTATGTTCTCCCAGAGTATAGAGAAGCTGGGCTTCAGTGTAACTGCCTCATTCAAGGGTGGAGGATGGAGAATTAATCTAGAAGCTGGTATAGACCAAGGCAAACATTCAGAATCCAAGGAAATTCAACAATCACATTCTGAACACTCTTACTTCTGTTCATCTAAGTTTAGCTATGTCCCCTTGGCCTCATGTCACTTTCCTGTTGAGCAGCTCAAGCTATCCAAGGCTGCTGTCCAGGAATTGAAAAGCATTGAAGACCTCCTGGATCATGCAGCGGGCTCAGAAAGATTTCCCTTGATAAGGCACAAGACTGAAAACTTCTTCCACAGGTTTGGTTCTCATGCTAACCAAGGCCCTCTGCATCTTGGGGGAATCTACTGGTGGAAGGCAATTTCAGAGGGTTTCCAAAAGGAGCGGTTGGCTGATGTAAAGCAGCAGGCAGCAGAGGCCCTGGATATTTACATAAGGGGCAGCTACAGTGGCTTTGGAGTGAAAGTTACTGCAGGTATAAATGTGTCAAACTCACAAGCAAAAGCATCCTCTCAAAGCAAAAACTTTCAAAATCTCCAAACCAACACTCAGTTATCTGTGACCCAGATAGGTGGCCCTCCAGAAGCAGATGGCCTTCTCCAATGGAAAGCTGGACTTGTGGCCAACAATCAAACCTGGTGTGTCATTGACCGGGGCCTTCAGCTGGTACCAGTTTGGGACATCATCCTCTCCAGCCACAGAAGTGATTTTAAGGATGCTCTAAAGGTGATTAACTGCCTGAAAGATAACTACACTGCTCTGACTGGTCTCACTGTCCAGATACAGGAAGGAGAGGAATTACTGAGTGCTGGGAAGGAGGCTAGGGTTTTCCTAGATGATGTGAAATCTTGGGAGGTATCTGACCCCGAAGAGCAGCTTAAAAACCTGATAGATTTCATGCAAATGTCGAGTCAACAAATAAAAGGTTATGACATTTGGATTAATAACTGCCTCACAGATTGGGATCTGCAAAACTTTCTTGTAAACACTGTCAACTTTTGCAAAAATTCTCCCATTTATAGAACAAAATTTATTAAATCACAGTTGTGCAGCCTTCTGGATCCCCATATCTACCAAGTAAAAAACTTTCCTCAAGCTCACTCTATCATGCAGTGGATCTATCAGTCAGAGACAGAGCAAGATCAAATCAACATCTCCCAATTTTCTGAATTAATTAAAACCTTAAAAGAAATCCAAAGAAATCTTGTGGAAGTAAATGTCAAGTCTGAGTCCCCAGAAACAGTAGAAGAAGCTCAAAGAAAGGCTACATATGAAGTCAGCATAGCTCTCAGCTGCTTTTTAAATTATCTCCAAGAAAAAGAGCAATCAGAAACACAGCTCTTGCTACTGTCCATTGCAGCTGGTGCAGGATATCAGGTGGTGAACAACACTTTTCAGTATCTCCTAGGGTGTGATGAATTAAATTTTCTACTGGATGAAATGGAAACTGCCCACAATAAATACCAGGAGCTCAAAAGTATTTGTAGCTACAGGGCTCAGGCATTCCTTCTGCTCACAGGTCTGACAGCCACAGTTGGAGTCACAGCTATTTCTCCAAAAGAGAAAATACAACGCATGGCATTAATGAGAAATCACATGGAACAGTCATTGTCTGAAGAAGTTGCAAATGTCCTCACCAAACTTGGAGCAGATCATGATTGGGAAAATCTAGAGAAAGACTTGAGATTACTTATTGATGGGAATTACAAAGCCACTGTATCTCCTTTGAAAATGGATGAGGTCAAAAAACAATTGCAAAGTCTTTTCCACGAAAAGAAACACTCCCAGGAACCACATGATGATGAAAAAGACAAGTGGGAGGTGATAGAAAATGCAGCCTTTCTGGACTTACTCCAGCGTCTAGGCCTAGAACATTATTACCCAAAAAGGATGACCAGAGATAACTTTCATCTAATCTACAAGACTTCTGTGTACAACACACAGCCAAGTTCTGAACAGGAACTTCCCTTCTATTTCCTACAAAAGCTACTGATGCTGGATTATGGACTGAGACACTTGGTCTTCAAAGATAACGGAAATACAGGACACCAAATCTATCCAAGTGCTTCCAATGAGGAAAATGAGGCATTTGATCCATATGAAGATCTTTTGGAAGATAGTGATAGCCTCACTAATCCTTCAACTACTGATCGCAGACCCCACATTCACCCAATGGATATTCAAATGGCAATTTTTCACTGTGCAGATTATTTTGCCAGACAATATATTTTGGCCAAACTTTCCATTTGTCAATTTGCCATTCCCCTTGTGGTGCCTAACCCTTGCACTTCGCAAATTGAGTTCTCTCTTTGGTCTCTAAGTCAAATTAGAAGAAGCTGGCAGCAAGCAAGGAAATTATCAAAAGGGAGAAAAAACAGTTACAAAAATCAACAGATGTGTCATGTCTCTACCTCCATTGTGTCCTTCATTAGAGTTGGAAATGGCCTCTCTGCTTCCAAATCTCAGATCATGAACTGTCTGCTCAGTAAACGTAAACATGATGTGTTTTTTCACCGACATTGCAAGGGAAGCAGCAAAGACTGTCTCCTGATGGAGGGTGTGGTGGAAATCTGCTGGTACTGTCCTGGAGGGGAAGATGAGGACAGGTTTGACAACTGTGTGACCTTCAGCAATCTTCATGGAGATGCGAAGGAACACAAGCAGCAGCTCACCTTTCTGCAAGAGATCTCTTCCATCGTTGTAGTCCTCATGTCAGCTTCTGACAACAATGAAGAAAGCCAGAAGACTGTCCGTGAGTTGTGCCAGTCATCCAGACCTTTGATCTTCTTGCTTGATGACAAACAAAAAACAACAGCCAATAATTCTGGCAGAAGAGTTAGAATTGGCATCAGGAATAGAAATGAGGCAGAATTAACAGAAGAGCTCACTACTACAATCACACGTTTGCTAGAGCTTTCTGACATTGCTCTCAGCTTAGAAGACTGTTCTCAGATTGCTTGCAAACAAGGATTTCTGATTGATGAAGACCAGAGTGAGTGCAAGGAAGCCAAAGAAAAGGCAGAGGTTATAATGGCCCTCCTGGGAGAAACTAATTTATCTCAGATGAAGGAAAATTTATTGCCCCTGCAGGGACAGTTGTGGCATCTTTGGTGTAAGAAGGACAAAGAATTTTATCATTTGAGAGAAAAGGGGAACAGGAGCATTGAGCAACACAAGAGTGAAATTGAGACAGATAAAAGAATAATTCGGTGCCAACAGATGGAAAAAGCATTTCCTCTCAATGATTTAATGCAATCTGTCCTCCAAATTCTCCAAGAACAGTCAGAAACTCATACCAAACTCTACTTCTTTCAGTGGTTGAGTGTGTTTTTGGACAATCTGACCACAGGACACTTGGAAAAACTGCGTGAAAAGCAAAGGTCTTTGTGGTCAAAGATACAAACAGAAAAGCAAAAGGCACAAAAGAGCAACTACCTGAAACTCTGGCAAAATGAGATAGAGGCCATCTCCACAGAGATCAGTGACTGTACCTTGGGAATTGAACAGCTTCTCAGAGAAATTGGCCAGATCTATGAAGCTTTAGAAGAAACTTCTTCCACAAGAGATATCCTTTTTCTTTCCCTTCCCCAAATTGCTGCAGACCTGATGATATCCGGCATGCCCATTGAGTTGATGGACGGGGATGCTTCCTATGTGCCCCTGAAGTGGGTGGCAGCTATTTTTGATGAGGTCTCTAAAAAAATTGGAGACAAACGACTGTTCGTTCTTTCTATCCTGGGCCTGCAGAGTTCGGGGAAGTCCACCCTGCTGAATGCCCTTTTTGGGCTGCAGTTCAGCGTCAGTGCAGGCAGGTGCACCAGGGGAGCCTACATGCAGCTCCTGAAGGTGGAGGAGACCTTTGCACAGGAACTTGGATTTGACTTTATGCTAGTTGTAGACACAGAAGGACTCAGGGCTCCAGAACTCAACAACAAATCCCAGAACTGGGACAATGAGTTGGCAACCTTTGTCATTGGACTTGGAAACTTGACTCTGATCAATATTTTTGGAGAGAATCCATCAGAAATGCAGGATATCTTACAAATAGCTGTCCAAGCCTTTCTGAGGATGAAACAAGTAAAAATTTTCCCAAGTTGCCTCTTTGTCCATCAGAATGTGGGAGAAGTTACAGCTAATGATCAAACTATGGAAGGACGACGGTGTTTGGAGCAGAGACTAGATGAAATGGCAGTAACCGCTGCTGAACAAGAAGAATGCTCAGACATAACCCACTTCAGCGATGTCATTAAGTTTGATGTTAATACTCATGTCCACTACTTTGCTCATCTCTGGGATGGCAATCCGCCAATGGCCCCTCCTAATCCTCGCTATAGCCACAATGTCCAGGAACTGAAAGGCAGAATTCTCTTGACTGCCAAACAGGAATCCAGGGGAAGCATCATGAAAATATCAGATGTAAAATTCCGAGTTCAGGATTTGTGGAGAGCCCTGGTCAATGAGAATTTTATTTTCAGTTTTAGGAACACCAGAGAGGTCATGGCTATGAGCAAACTGGAAACCATGTATAACCACTGGACCTGGGAATTAAGGAGTCACATGCTGGAATTGCAGAATCAGCTGAACAATCAGATTCAGAATGGAAGAATTCAGATACTCAAAACAAGCATGTTTGAGATTCCAATTACAGAAAAATATACAGTCATCAAACGTGAACTTGAAAAATATTTTAATGATGATACAGACAGTGAAATATTGGTACAATGGAAAGCAAATTTTGAAAATAAGTTAATAATCCTTAAAGAGGCTCTTATTGCAGATAGCAAACAAAAAGCCAATGAGTTTATTCGTTTAAAGAAAAATCAAGAGAGACTGGATAAAAAAAAGACATGCTATGAAAGTGAATTACTGGAAAGAAGCCGAAACTTGGCTTTAACTGTAAAAGGTAAAGAATTGAATGATGAAGAGCTACATGAGAAATTTAATCAGCTTTGGAAAAAATGGATCTATGATGTGTCCTCAGATCTTCCTCAAGTCACAGAGCCTGACATTGATGTGGATTCTGAAAACATTCTTTGGGAGTATTTCCAGAAGGAGATAAACTTGGTGGACTTACTAAAGAAAAATTCTGGTGAGAAGTTTCAAATCAATTATGAAGAGCATGTCAAAATGAATAAGAAGTACAACTTTATGACAAGGACATTAAAGACCCAGGACAAAGAATCCATTAATATGACAACTGACCTCATTATTTCAAGATTTAATGAAACGATTAACAACATTCGTAGGCAACAATGTGATTACAATCCAAGTTATTTTCATGAAATCCTGAGAACAATAGATGAGGAAGTAAAATCTGCACCTACTGAGGAAAGATACACATTTACAAGCAAATACAACATTGAATTATCTTTGTGTTTATTCCAAAGAGCATCAAAGAGTTTTAAGGAAATGCATAGGGCATTCAAGAGAGCAAATGATCCTGTAAACTATCTGGAAAGCAAAAAAGATGATTTCTTCATGAGTTTTAAGATCTCCTGTCAAGGAGCAACCTCAATCAAAACATTTGTTGATTTTTTGTGGCACAAACTCACCCCTGCTATCTCTGCCACCATATGGAGAAAAATGATCATTAAAATTGCTGGGGACATGCAAGCTACCTGCCCTGAATTCAATGGAAACAGGGCTAACCTGGAGAAACACATTCTCATCTCTCTGGCAGAAGAAGAAAACTTTGATAATTACTGGCAATATCTTCATTACACAAAATCTTTTTTTAGTAGTTACATTGAAAACCACATTAAGAGATACTGTACAGAAAAATGTGACAAAATAAAGACTTTCTTAAAACTAAGCTTAGATGACATCAAGAATGCCATCCTCTCTGCTCTTCGTGAATCCACAGCAGTAGCTAAAGATAAGAGCAGCACTGCCTCTGGATGGCTGGACTTCTTCTGTGATCACCTGGGGAACAACTTGATCTTTCCACGAAAAGATCTGATAAGCATTGAACACCAGGAGATAAAAGATATAGAATTTCTCAAAGAAGCCATGAGTGCAGCTTTGGATCCTGCAATAAAGAAAGTTGAACAGAAATGTTCAAGTATGCCTACTGATGAAATGGTTTCTGAAATTGAGAAAATCCTCTCTGAGCATCTCTGTGGCTGCTGGAAACAATGTCCCTTATGTAATGCAATTTGTACCAACACCATTCCTACACACGAAGGAGACCACAGCGTTCCATTCCACCGTCCTCAGGCTGTCAGTGGGTGGCATAAGCATAAAACAGACCACTTTGTCATTGATTGCTGTACCAGTTCAGTAGCAAGTGATCGTTTCATGATTTTTGGAAATGATCAGAAAATCCCCTATAAAAACTATCGGCAAGCAGGAGGGGATTATGCCACATGGAGCATCACCCCAGATTCATCCACCCAACCATATTGGAAGTGGTTTGTTTCACATTTCAGATCAAAACTAGAAGAAAAATATCAGAAAAAATTTACAGATACAGGTAAAATCCCTGATGCCTGGGCCAAAATTACAAAGCAGGATGTGCTCGATGACCTAAAAAAACAGTAGTATTCAACGATAATAAAAGATCTCCAATATCTGAGGAAAGGTACCAAATAACTTTAAAACATTTCCTCCTTACAATGAGAGCCTTCAATATTTCTAATTTCTTACATGTAAATGTAAAAATTTAAATATTTCCTGTAAAATGACTTTATTTCTCTCTGCCTCAATTCTTTCTGGTTTAAACAAAAGAAACTACTGAAACTTATGAGTACATCATAAAATCAACTTGTAACAGCTACTTCTTACTTTAAACTATTATTCTTGGTATTTTCTTTAAATATAAGACTCAATCATCCTAACTAAGAAAAATTTAAATCATTGAAGGCTGCTACAAATTTCTATAGAATAAATGTGTGGAAATTTCAGCCTATATACAGATCTTGGCTGAAAGCTACAAATCAACTTTTTGGGTGGATTTTTTACCCTTTGAAATTATGAAAAAAAAATTAGTCCTAAATGTAATAATATTCACGGAAATTTAATGATTTCGCAGCATAGCAGTATTTCAACATATTCCATTCTGGGAAAGAATAAACCAGAGAATTGACCAGGATAGGTTATGTATTAGTTACTCTGTCTGCTTTCCTGTTGCTAGGATAGAACACCTGACACCCACAATTTAAAGGAGAGGTTTATTTGGCTCTTAGTTTCTTGCGGGTATAGTCCATGGTTGGTTGGCTCCAAGGCAGAAACAGCATGGTGGAACAACCTCGCATAGGACAGCTGCTAACCTTAGGCAGCCAGGAATCAGCAAGAGAAGGGAGAAGCCAAGGATAAAAAATATTTCCCTTTAGGTTATGCTCTACAGTAACTCAAGTCTAACCAGGACTCTCCTCCTAACCGTATACTCAACTGCTGAACTCATCAATCCATGAATCCTCTGATAAGCATAGCAGCCCCCAGATCTAATCACTTTCCAAATGCATGTATCTTGTGGGGGACATTTTAGGTCTAAAGCATTACAAGCCATCATCAACTAGGGAAAGATTATCAAGAATATATGGGAAGCAGAAATAAAATACTGTAACTTTTTCTCATTTAAATATCACTTTTTCTTCCCTGATATCTTTGTAGTTCCATACTCAAGCTACAAAAAAAAGAAAGAAAGAGTCTCAAAATGTAGGTATTTGAAACCTGCTGGGACAAATCTGTGAAGGATTGGCTGCTGGGACAAAATTTATAACCAGGTGTAACAAACCATTTTAATCATTTTAATCAAGTAGGTAGACATTATATTTGATTAAAACATTAATGATATCAAAATTATTCCTTAAAGAAAAAGTATCAAAAAGTATACAGTTTTTTATTATTATTAAATTTAAGTGGTATGGTATTTCAACAAACATTCTTTTTTGCATATAAAAATGTGAGATGCCAGGGTGGTGGCACACGCCGGTTATCCCAGCACTTAGGACACTGAAGCAAGAGGATCGCCACGAGTTTGAGGCCAGCTTGGGCTACATAGTGAGCTCAAGGCTAGCCTGCACTATACAGTGAGAAACTGTCTCAAAAAAAAATGTGAGAAAATGTTTATCTCCAAGTCAGACACACTTGTGGCTCTTTAATCATTTGGGGTGTAAGGTCATGAATGGCATAAAAATTAAGGAAACTCGGAAGTTGACCAAGGACCTGAAAAGGAAGGAAAACACCCTCCTGCAAAACTACGCCTCCTTGCCTCATGCTCAGTTCTCAAAGCTGATGATCGAAGGGAATCATGATACAAAGAAGAAAACTGCTTCATATTGGACATAAAGGCATCCAGTATTTTCCATTTACAGGTACAGTGTCTACACTCACCCCACACACATACACACAGGCAGTAAAAACAGACAGCCCAGGAAATAGCAGTGAAACAACTTGGATCTTCAGAGACGGGATACAGGAGATATATTCAGTTTCAGGTCAACTAAGTCATCTCCAGAAGTCTCAGACAGAAAAAGTACAAAGGGTATAGGTGCTTTTGAACAGTATGGTTTTCCCTTTGTTCCCTGAAAAATTAGTCTTGATGAGAAATGAAGAATCTGATGAGACTGAATTGGTCAGGGAAACAGAACCTACACACAGAATAGTACCTGTCTCTCACAATACTGCATCCTTGAAAAGGGCTAGTTTCAATTAATAGTTGCTGAATCCTTTTTACCGTTAATTAATGAATTCATAAAAGCATTTAACTAAGAAGTATCATTTACCATGTTACTTTTGACTTTCAAGCTAAAATAATTTTGTCTAAATAAAAAAGATCTTTGATAAATTCCTCAGGTATTTAAGCAGTATGATTATTACATGAGATACAGAGGCTATTCTCAAGATATCACAAAAAAAGGAAAGAGGTAAATTGGGATAGAGAGAAGATAACTATGCCTGTCATAGTAGAGGGTATTCTGTGATACTACTAGAACAATCACACTGCCTTCGAGGCAGAATCCGCTTTGAAAGGGATTGTAGGGTCAGTGGATTGGACATCGCTGAAGAAGGAAATCTCAGGAAGAATAAAAGTAGGGGAAATGGAGTCAGGAGGGATGTCAAGATGAGGAGATACTGGATGCAGGTTCAGGCCACAGAATCAGAGATGGCCAGAGATATAAGGTTAGTTGGAATTGTATTCCCATGGTCTCTCATAGTCACTGAAGTACAAAACAGAAAAACAGTAACTGAAATCACCACAGCAGGTTTCAGAGAGGCTCCAGTCAGCCAAGATGGAGATCCAAAGTAGAGTGGAAAAGGAGCCACAGGTATGCGGGAATGAAGAGGGATTCTAGGACATCACATCCTGTGATTAAGATGTGAGTTACTGACTTACATGTAGAATTTAAAGAGTAAAGTCACAGAAGTAGAAAATAAAATGGTGATTACTAGAGGCTGAGGGGAAGGTGGGGGAAAAGGGAAATGTTGGTCAAAGGGTATAAAGTTTCAGTTAGACAAGAGATAGAAAGTCTGGTGAGGCTGGGGATTTAGCTCAGCGGCAAAGCGCTTGCCTGGCAAGCGCAAGGTCGTGAGTTCGGTTCCCGGTACCGGAGAAAAACCAAAAAAAAAAAAAAAAAAGAAAGTCTGGTGATCTATTTCATATCAAGTTGACAATAGTTAATAATGTACATTTCAAAACTGCTAAAAATGTGTTTTAAATGTCTTTGCGATGGGCTGGGGATATAGCTCAGTGGCATAAGTGCCTGCCTGGCAAGCGCAAGGTCGTGAGTTTGATCCCTGGTACCACAAAAAAAAAAAACAAAAAAAAAAGGTTAAATGTTCTTGCCACAAAAATAGTAAGATGTGAAGTGATGGATTTATTAACCTGATTTGTTCATTCCCAATGCAGACATACACAAAAGAATCACTTTGTACTTCACACATATATACCTTTGTACCTCATAAATTATCTGTAATGAGAACAAAATCTTAAAAATAAAGGTGTGAATTAAATAAAAATGAGAAACTGCACTGAAACATTTTGAAGGAAGTTTTTGTTCTTATAAACACAGTGGAATACAGGAAAGTCTAGGGAATGAGGTGTATCTAAAAATAACCCCTTAAGTTTTGGGATGCCTTTTGTTTGGACTATAGAAAAATAGATGTGAAACATATAATTTTATTTTCCTCTTTCCTCAGAATTGTACCTCTTTCCATTCCAACCCTTCAGTAAAGTCTGAAAAAAAATTCAACACTTTATATTAGTGTTTTGGTGCATAAGTGGACAGGGCAGTGGAGGAAGATATATTATCACTGATATTTGCACAATAACTACTAATACTGCTGTCTTTGTAGGAATAGTGCCTGTGAGACCTTGGACATAATTTTTGTGTGCTCAGATATCCAAACAATGAAATGGTAAATTTCTCATGCTTTGAGGGGGAATAAATTAATTGCCATACATACGATACACAGGACAGTAAGCACTAAGTGACTATGTTATACTGCCTCTCCCAAGTTCCTTACTTCTTTACTTTGAGTAATTTTATTATAATACATAAACAGGTTAAACAATCGCGTCTGAGTTGCACTGGCAGGTATAGTCAACACAGACTCCTGGAGAAATCACATTTGAGAATACAGTTTGTAATAAATGTGATTATAATGTAATAGCTCAAATGCATTTTAGAATACCAAAGTCTTTGGGCACTTTATTGGTAGTTACAGCTATTCCAAACACTAATCAATTAATGACTTAGCAAAGTCGCTGGCACAATTCTTCACAGGTGTGGAAAGCAGTATGTCTTAAGTTCCTCAGAAGCAGGCCTAAAACATACGCAGATTTCCATGCAAGTGATTTACTGGAGAAGTTATTCCAGTAAAAATAAATGAAGGAGAAGGGAAGCGAAATGAAGAAGGGATTCAAGATGAAGTAAATTAGTAGATCTAATCCAAGTGTTGAAAGTTAGAGAATGCTACCTCGTAGTTGCAATTAAGAGCCAAAACTCAGAAGTTAGACTCCTTAGCTGTGCCTGGGACCTCCACCATTTGCCACTATGTGACCTCTGAGGAATTAAACTGTCTCTGATTCATTTTCTTAATCTATGAAATGTTGCTATCTCATAGAAGTGTGAGGATGACTTCACATAATATGTGTGTGCGGCATGTGAAATGTGTTGAGTTAGGTAGTATAGTGTAGGCAACAGCAACAGGAGCAACAAAAGTTATGTTAATGAAGTAATTATAGTAGTTATTAACACTACTATTATTGCCATTATATTTAAAGGTAGTTACGTCTACATTTCATGCTCAATTGTTCATAAGTTCATCAAGAAGTGGGTTCAAGTTCTATATTTGACCCAATAGTAGTTACAAATGGATCTGCTTTATTTTCTCTGTCTGTATGTTCTTTTCCCTAAATAGAATTTTAAAAATAAAACAAAATTAAAATTGTAAACTTCAAAAACAGAGTGAGGAATGGGAGAAAAAGTGCACTGTTCCATCCCTTTGACAATAGCTACCTAATAGCCCCCCCAATGTCATTATTATTTTTAGTGCAATCCAAGTGACTTGTGTTTACTCCCAATTAGAAGATATGT